ACGCTATTTGCCAGATTTTGCTACCCTAGCGTATCCTATGAAAATGCTGACAAAGGAAAATGCCACCTTCGACTGGGGCTTTGAACAGCAGTCTGCCTTTGGAGAAATTAAAAGACGCATCGTGTCTACACCAATGCTGACCTTTTTCGATGAAAACTGCCATACCTTCGTCTCGACGGCTGCGTCAAACATCGGTTTAAGAGTGGTCCTGTCGCAGATGCAGAACGGAGAGGAAAAAGTGCTTGCATATGCTTCTAGAAAATTATCCCCTACAGAGGTTTCTTACTCCGCCCATGAAAGGGAGACGCCCGGCTGTCTGGGCCTGTGCAAAATAGCAACTATTTCTGTTTGGTCGAAGGTTTACATTGCCTACAGATCACGCTGCTCTAACTACCCTCCTCAGTCAAGGAACCAATGGTCACAGGTCACTGCGGATTAACCGCTGGTATGCGCATTTACTGAGCTATGATTTTGAAATCACATTCCGCCCTAGCTCCGAAAACCATATGGCAGATAGCTTATCATGTCTTCCATTGGACGATTCCGATAAGAAGGAGGACGAGGAAGAAACAATCTTGGTTTTCACTTTACATTCAAGTGAGCTTTCCGTCGTAATGACGTAAGTGTATCAAGAAGCTATCAAAAGGGACCCAAATGTACAAGCCGTTTTCCGTCCCCTCACTCAAGTCTGGCCTCGCTACATGAAGCTCAGTGGTGAACTAAGGGCGTTTTATGTTTTACGACACGAGTTACCGTTCATTGATGGTCGCCTTATGCGAGGATCGAGATTCGTCTAATGCCAAAAATTATCTAATGTGCAACCGAGGGATATCCGGGTAACGTATGAAAGAAGCGTCGACTGCAAGAACACGTTTGGTGGCTGAAAATGAGTAAAGTGGCAGAGGCGTGTGTCCGGTCTTGCGATACGTGTCAGAACGCCGACAGGAACTTTAAGCCGATCGATGCACCTATCCAACCTATCGTTTATCCAATGAAACCTTGGTCGAAGATGACGATTGACATCATGGGACCATTCTCTTCTGAATCGCATCACCAGAGAAACTGTCTAGTGGCCACGTGCTTTCACAATAAGTGCCCTGAGATTCACCTTTGTGGCAATGTGAACACTTCAACCAAGGTGGCTGAAGCATCTGTTTGCTAGGTTTGAGCTTCCCGAAGAAGTTGTGACGGACAACGGATCGTAATTCACAAAATACGAGTTCCGGAATTTCCTACAACTTCATAATGTAAAACACTTACGAACGGTCTTGTAAAATCTAGCTGCCAGCGGATTGATTGAGCGCACAGCTCGGTTCTTAAAGGAAAGTATACCGACAGCACATTTATCCCTCATGCATTGAGATGTCGTAGTCGTGGCTTTATGTACTCAGAGAACGGCGCTCCACAGACCGACCGATCGCACGCCAGGGGAGCTAATGTTCGGCCGGAACCTACACACAAAGTTAAACGCAGCTATTTCGGCTACGGAAAACAGCGATCCTACCAACTGGAGCGTTGCCGACGTTATAATTCTTCTTAGGAAAAGCAATCCTTACCATTGCGTGTCGGAACGTTGGTCCATCTAACGGAAAGGCAGACACGTAAATGGTCAGCCAGCATTATCACGCCCCATCAGAGTTATTCGGACATTAAGGCCAGAAACATACGAGCATGCAGACGGCAACCGAGTTCACGCCAGAAAGCTTTCTTCAGTCCTTCAACCAAACGCGGAATCACTGTCCAGAAACGAGGTCCAAGCTAACTTACCACTCATGATGCTGCGCTCGTTTAGGGAGGGGGGTGATGTTGCATCGCCTACCTCAAGTTCCAGTCATGTCTGTCACGCCACGCACCGAAGCCTGCAATAATTGGATGAGGGTCATCGCCAGATCAATACCAAGCTCATTAGACCTGTACCTTATCTGACTCACTTTGGTGTATGGAGTGTTCCGAGCGTGTCCGCCTCTTGTTCTGCTTTCGTTAGTGTGTTCGGCCCGTAGTGATACAAGACCCTGTTTGCGTAGAGGCCTAGTGTGCGTATTTGGACACAACAATAGACTTGCCTGACCGAGGGCCGGGATACTTTCTCAGTTCTCAACGTGCAAATCTCAGATTATTAGCTGTTTACTCAGCATGCCACTCGACTGTGTCTAAATCACCGATTTGTATACAATGAACCTAAGATTTTCTACTGAATCTCGAAGAAGTTTATTCCTTCGTACTCACATCATTTGGTTTTAATTCAGGAATCGGCTCAACATGCAAATGTATAGACTGGTGATGAAGCCTCCTCCGATTTTCACAGATGCCTACACGGGAATGCTGGAATGTAAACTACTCGTGGTTGAAGTTATAGTGACTTTCTGCAGACAGTATTCTTCACTGAATATCGCCTGTTAAATCCACAAAATGTATCTTCGTGCCTCATTTTACAGCATAAAATGGAAGCGCATTTAGCAAAACTTAGTTAAAGTAGGGCTTAAAGGACCGACTGGTTTAGATACAATTTTTCGGAGACCTTACTAGGCCAGAAAACTAGCGAATTCCTATATGTCTTAATCACCACCGCACCCCTCAGATAACCATCCATATCATATCCGGATTGATGTCACTATTGGAGACGAACCGAAATGGGGCACAGAAGCATTTCGGGAACGTATATTTAGAACACATCACCAAACGCATATGATCCAGGACAATCCAGATGTTATGTTTCGAAATAAACCCCGCAGTTAAAATTTGCATTTCTGAAAAGCTCTTTAACACGGCCAGTTTAGATGCATCTTTGATGCTAAACTCACCACTTTTCTCTATCTTCTAGGCTTATCGTCCTCTGCCGATAGCTATTTCCCCATTAACCTAACCCTGTGCATCAGAGTTCAATGAGCGCACTATAAGGAAGTAGTTGCGCGAACCATGTATCAGCTCCCAACTAGCTACAACATTCAATAAAATTGGAAAGAGTTTCAGTATAGCGACAATAGTTGGTGTAAGATTTCCAAACACAATTTTACGACGAACGACAATTTTGTCAGCGTCAATACTTCCTGTGAGGTCTACTAGAAATCAACTGGGCATTTCCATCCGCCTAGTACAATCAATACAACATCGTGGAGCTTTTACGGTGAGCTTTCGGGCAATTCGAACTGTCCATTTTCCGCCGATTACTTTCCGCTTACATACGCCCTCATGTTGAATATGCAGGTCAAGTGTGACACCCATGACTAAAGCGGGACCTCACGGCCTTAAAAATTCCGTAACGCCGGGCGACCAAAAATGTTGAGGAGCTACACTACTTGTCATACGAACAGCACCTCGGAGGGCTTGGCATTTGCAGCGGACCTTATCGCCGTTTGCGTGGTGACCTAATCATGACTTACCAAATTAAAAACAACACAAGTCACCCGTACCATCATCTGTTGAAGCTGAGTCACAACAACAAACTGAGAGATGATCATCTAAAAGTTGCAGAAAAATACAGTCGATTGGCGTGTCGGAGAAACTTCTTCTCGCTGCGTGTTTACCACACATGGAATACCCTCTCAGGTGCTGTTATTTTAACCCCCACGTTGGTCATGTTCAAAACAAGTGTCGACGGTGTACTGGCCATACCACACCATATCACTTAGCCCAAACGACCCATACAAGCAGCTGAAAAACAAAAGCAAATCAACCCATCATCATTTTTGCCTGGAAACCACAGACGATAACATTGGATAATACATAAAAAGCCAAGTGTGAACAGCACAGACGGGAACGCTGTATCCGGCAAGTTTGCAATTTGCAGTTTTTCACTAGTTTCTATTGCTATTTTTTCTTAATTTTTCTCCCCTGACCGATCATCCGGCGGGACATGTCAAGCTTCGACTTTTTTCCACCGCAATCTACCATTGACCATGCATTTATGATTTAATATTCATCACGTCCACCACGTTTGTATGCGGGAGAAAGTTTACTGAGAAGATGAAGTGAAGAATGCCCGTCGGATAAGGCAGTCGAGTTTAGGATGTGGTCCTTGTCCCGCTGTGACTCTGTCGACCATCGCAAATACATTGATCGAACCATTCAACTGAGTGATTTACTGATATTCACAGTGGGTTTGTAGTGTGTGTATGTGCCGTGTGTTTGATCTAACAGAGACCCACAGCTGCATCCTTGTGCAATTGTAGCTTGGTTATCTTGCCGTCTGCGGTCCCTTTCTTGGGTATATGAATATCATAGGCCCCATAAAACGAACCAAGCAAGCATCTGATGAGTAGATATCATTATTAAACCAACTAAGTTCATCCGATTCACAAAGCTTTGCGTGTGATACCCCAACGGTTGGATGAGGCACATCTATATGGTTCGAGAGAATGACATACACCAGAGGTCATCAACTAGTTTCTCGTCCAGTTCCATCGCACCTATTTCTGCGTCAACCACGACTTCATCTACGTACAACAACGGCAAACTATGCTCACCGTTGTTGCTAAGCACTGTATATGTATAGAAATGCAAGTAATTCCCACATCATCTACCGACGGGTATCGATATTGCGGTACCATTGATCGGCAACGTCTACTTAACTTGGTCACTTTCCTAAAGCTTTTTCTGTGAAGTGGTCTTACGTACGCATGCTGCATCTATACCAACTGCGGTGCAAAAACTAGTATGGATTTAGCCATTTATTTTATGCGCATATTGGAACAATTACCCGAGGTTTCTATTCACGTGTACCGATGGTTAATCTCCAGTAATCTACTCGGGTACAAGTCTTTTATTCTAATTAGAATTCGTTTTTCGAATACCTCCATCTTCTGCTCTTCTCTACTTGACACAAATTACCTCATTGATTGTACCCCCTAATCAACCGTGGTATTTCCGATGCAATGCAATACAATACACACCAGTATTACTTTCTACCAGTTTCAGTGCAATGCAGTTCATTAACTTTTGGATTTTAATCGGCGCCCTGGTTTATCATTGATCTGAACTAGTAGAAACCACGCCTCACTCACCTGTATCCGTTTTCCAAATCGTAGGGATCCCTTAAGCAGTTGAAGTCGCCGCATGCGTTTTCTTCCACACATCGATCCGCCTCGATTTCGCAAAATTCTCCGCGGAACGCTGGAGGGCACTCGCACTTTATACTGATTATTTCCTTCACATGTTCAGACCCGAACTGGTTCTTGATTAATGTGGTCAAGCAACGTCCGCCGTTTGCGCATGGATTGCCTCCACCACATCCGACATCTTGGCTCACGTCTACGCACCCGTCGAGAAATCGGTCGTACTGACAGAAGTGGTGGTAGATGAAAGTGGAAACGAACCGGAGTTTCATAAATAGTGTTGTTCACTCACACCGAAAGTCATCGTTAACAGTAGTGCATCAGCCAACTGAACTGATGCTTCGCTACCATACAACCATAACGACCTACGGAACCAAGAATAATAAGAGGGAGAGAAGGCTGACTTACCGGAAGACCTTAATACCCTAAGCAAACATTCAGGGTCAAGGCGCCTACACCGTGTCAACAATATACTATCACAAGCAGCTGGCCAACGTACGAAAATAAGGCGGCATCGGAGAGACAGCTTCATTGCGGTTTTCATTGCCCGCGTCATTATCAGCCATCACCACACAGATAACTATGCACAAAACACATTGAACAGGCAGTCCGACTACGAGACGGCAGCAGAGGTGCCACTGGTGCTAGCTGCAAGTCATGACCTGTAAATTCGCGAGCCAAGCACAAATCGAGTCACGTGGACTCCAGCCTGAAAAGCGAGACGGACAGACGGCACCAAGTTTGGTCGGCAGTGACTTCGTTTCCGGCTGCCAAGTCAAATTCTGTCCACCTCGATTCTTGCACCACCCTACACCTGGCAGACTAAACAAGGCCCTCCGAGATAACCGGTGACCGGACATACTTTGTACGTGCATTATCATCTTCATCATTATATACGTTAACTGCATGTGGAAAAAACCTCAGCTATTGTGCCGCAATACAAAGACAGGCAAGCAGAAAAAACAAGTGAGGCACGCCGGCTGTGTCCCCAGTAACGGATGGACATTGTTCCGGAGAGCTAACAGCCAGCTATCGTGCCGCGTAAGGAGAGTTATATTACGCCCAACGAATGAACTCCTGATTGGAGGGGGAGACTAAGCGGGAGGGGGATGGACAAAGGAACGCACAACGCGAACGCCATTGGGGCCGGCTCCTAGCCATATCAGCAAGTGTGTCCAACCAAACGTGTTCATCGTCCTTAGGGCCCGAGCCGGGTAGTCGGGCTGCACCAACCGACGCCAACTTTGAAGTGAGGGTTTTCATTTCTTTGGATCAAGTCATCGCTTGACCTCCCCTCTTCCTCTTCAAACGGCACCTCCGACGCGCAAACAATGCACTTCTCTGGAGTCTGTGTGCTGGCATGCGTAACACGTGGCCCATCCATCAGAGCTTGGTGCGTGATATATTGGTGCTGAGCGGTTCACTCACTCTTCGTGCACCAAATACGCGGCACCGAACACGCTCATTGCTCACGCGATGCTCCCACCAGACATGAGCTAAGCTGCAAGGGCAGCGATGATCGAATATGGCGAGCCTCTTTATGTCTGTCGACCTGATGGGCCAGGTTTCACAACCATATAGGAGAGTTAAACGGACGGCTGCATTATAAACTCTGTCCTTCAGGCAGACAGTGATGTCGCGTCTGCGCCACAGGTGGCGGTGTTTTGCTATACTGATCATAATCTCATCTTCGATCCCACGGGCGCTAATATAGCTGCCCAGGTACTTGAATTCCTGAACCACTTCTAGCTGATCACCAGAAAGGGTCTGCTCAGGGGTGGGATCCTGCCAATCTTGGAGAAGAACTTTGCATTTCGAGGGAGCAAAGCATAGCCCAAAAGAATTCACATCCAGTGCTAATCGGTCCAGTACATCCTGGCACGTTCGGGCACTGTCACAAATGAGGGCAATGTCTTCCGCGTACTCCAAGTCAAGAAGCCGCTAACCAAGTAGTAGCTCCACACCAGCTGGATCGTGCCCAGCGAACGCTGTTTCTATGACTTCCTCAATATCGAACTTAAATAGGAAAGGTGACAGCGAGCAACCTTGTCTCACACCGCTGGTGATACTGAGGGGTGGCAACAATTTGCCACCCTCACTCTACCCGAGCTATGCGCGTACAGCGCTTTGATAATGTTTACTTATTTATCAGGTACACCTTTTTCCAGCGGGCAGTCCTAAAAGGCACATCGATTCACCGAATCGAATGCACCTTCGATGTCGAAAAGCACGACAATGCTGTGTCGCCAATAAACATGGCGGTGCTCCAACAACTGACGCAAAACCTAGGTGTGATCGATGCAGCCTCAATTTCGACTAAACTCAGCTTGCTTTTCGCGGATCTGGCCTTTATGAGCGCCAGTCATTCTGTGGAGAATGAGAGAGGCAAGTAATTTAGAAGCATCTGAGATCAGACTGATCTGTCTATGATTGCCGCAGTCCGAACGGAAGCGTCGCTTGAAAATTGGGACCATGACGAAACAGCTCCAGTTTGTCGTGACGGTTTCCTGTTCTCAAAGTTCCATTAGCAACTCGTGTAAAGCATCCAAAAGAGCAGGTCCCCCGAATTTGTGGAGAGCTGGGGGAATTCTAACTGAACCGGTGACCTTATGCGATTTCAACAGTCTGATCTCACTTTCGACTTCTGCGCGTGAGGACTGATCTAAGGAGACGACACATGGAGAAGGGCACTCAAAGCCCGACAGAGAAAGCAGTAACAGATTGGTTAAACTGCCTTGCAAAGTGTTCGACACAACGCTCCAAGCGTTTTGACAAACTGTGGATCGTCTGTCCATTATCGCCATGTACTATCTCGCTAACACCAGGTCTTCTGCTGAATATTTCCCGTATCAGACGGAATAATTTACGATGATTACCAATGGCAGCCGCTGTTTCCATTTCCGATGCACGATGAGACCACCAATCTTTGCGGTCTTTCTTCAGGCTAGCACGCAGTTTTGCCCTGAGAATTTGCTAATCTCATTGTATTCGCTTCCAGCTGGAATCGTCAGTGAGTATCTATAAGTTCCAGAGATTTGGTGGAGACCCAATGTCTAGGTTAGCAATTTGATTTGCCAAATGATTACATGCCTGATGATATTAACCTTTGACGAATATGCAACCAGTGGTCTTCGACGGTGTTCAGTGAACGCTTTGTTCGCCCAAATGACAGCTAGTTGGATACGCATTCAGAATATCTGGCATCGCCAGCTGGCTGGTATCAATGCACTCAGAGCGTCCTTGCGGACATCCGCCGAAACGTAGCCGGAGGTCCGCACACACAAGAGCGTGATGGGTGTGCACCCTAGTGCTCCAAATCGAGCGACAGTTTAGGATATAGCCATTCCAGCGGTAACTGATCGCGATATGATCAGTTTGCATCCATGGCTGGTGCAAAGCTAGTGGGTGCCAACTCACTCTTCTGCGGGTGTTGTTCGAAAGTTTATGCTCACGAAAAAGAGACGAGAATCTTGACATGAGTGTAGCAATCACTCACCGTTATCATTACAGAAGCTTACACCATTTTGGCCTTCCAGATGAAGCTCATCAGAGGAGACTTTTCCGACTTGGTCGTTTAGATTGATAGCCAACACCACACTATCCGCGCTTCTTCTGTAACGAAAAAAATTGTTAAACTTGTGATAGAAACCACCTCTCACTGAATCAGGCCTGATGTTTGTGGGGCATAAGCCACAATGACAAACAGGCACCGTTTGTCCCCGCGCGATTTCGAAGCCAGGAATGAACCAGGTAATCCGACGGCGCAAATCTGACTGTTGTCTGGGATCCAGGTGATCAGGGCAGGTTCATCCCGGGGATTCAAAACGATGCCGACGCCATATTGACCCGCACTTGAAGCTGCATCATCGCCAGACAGGTGCAATGAGGATGTGCCGCCAGTGTTGCATATGGGGGATCGCAACATAACCACGGAGCTTACAGGCCCATTTTCGGTAAATAGCACATATCGATTGAAGGGGTCTCGAGTGTTCGGGTGAGTGCTGCCTGTTGGCCAATCTGTTTCAATGTGCGCAAGTTTAGGTATGCCAGTGTTAGCAAGGATCGAAGACTCCAAAGGGAAACGGGTGAACTGACGTTGTCCGCTTGGTTGAACATGAATTTGTCGACTGGATTGAAGCGACGCCCTGCGATTGTGTGTAAGCTGAAATTAGAAGACAAGCGAATATCTATGCAAGGTTGTGGCAGGGCTAAGTATTGGGGGATTAAAAACGGCGGGATGAAAGTGCAGTTGGAGCGGGACGATAATGATGAAAAAGCGCGAGCGGGGGACAAGGAAGACGGGAAGGTCTGAGCATTAGCATCCAAATCCTTATTCACCCTTCTCGATGCAGCAGATCGGGCGCCGTTTATTATCCTCTGCGACGGCCAGAGCACCAAGAGTTTGTTAAAAAATGATCATGATATATTTCGTGGACAAAATACTATCAGGTTGCCCAGGCGTAGACCGGAGAACGATTAGGGTTCTCAACCAAAACCTTTGGTTCAAAACCCTTACTGCTGTTCAGCGTGTTTTTGGCACTTGACTACCGAGTGCCCGTTTTATGGAGTAAGTAGCCACCGTCACTCCAACCCTCAACCTGGAGGGCCAGGATACTGAATTTGTCTGGCCTCTAACCATTGACCAATCTGGTCAATTTTTAAGCTGGCTAGTTGTTGTCAGCCCCTAGCATAGATGGGTTCGATCCCCTGTAGAGGACCGAGGGGATGCACACCACTGACCAGCTCCAATAAGGCGAAACACTTCAGGTGCTTTTCTAAACTTTGATTGAGCTATGTAGCTTGTGAGCTGGTGGGACGAATACGTTAAAAATATTTAGTAAATTGTTTCCAGTCTAAGTTCTTCACCTTGATCTTCCATCTGGTGTCACATTCGAGTCCTGGTTCAAATGTTCTGAGGATATATTCCGTGCTGTATTCAGTGTTATGAGGAATGGTCATGGCGAACACTGCTGCGAAAATTAGTAGCTACGGACCACGAAGTTTTTGTCAACCACAAATGTTCGAAACTCATGTGACGCAGCTTTTTTGCGAACGTTTCTGACTATTCAGCAGAAGCTGTCAGTGTATACAATTTGTCCAACACTCCATGCATGACCTCATCACCTACGCAGGTAAAATCAGTCGCAAACGTGAAGGTTTCAAAGTTGAGTACATGTGAGAGTCTCCGTTCGAATGTTTGATGAACATTTGTGGTCTACGGTCT